ATCCACATAGTTATACCTTTCATGAGCATGAAATGGTATTATAACTTTGGTCCGAAGTTTGTAAGTACCAGAATAAGAAGAGATAGACCCATTAAAATGCATACTTAAATGATCAGAGCGGCGAGCTGAGTCGATTTAGCCATGTCCGTCTGTCCGTCTGTCTGTCTGTCCGTCTGTTTGTATGCAATCTAGTCTCTCAGTTTTCGAGATATCCGGATGAAATTTGGTAGGTGGGTGTATTTTTATAATGTATTAATCATTTGTCGGAACCGGAAGAATCGGACCACTATAACATATAGCTCCCATACAACTGATTGTTCAGATATGAGATTTTTCGTTATAACTTCTCCATTTATGCAGATGGGAACATGAAATTTTGCAATATTTCAACCCATTATTAACAGAAAACTTAGAGTGAAAATTACAAAGATCGGGTCACTATAACCTATAGCGCTCACAAAACTGATTGTTCAGATATAAGGTTTTTCGTTATATCTCCTCCATTTAAGTAGCTAGGCACATGAAATTTTTGGGTCGCTATAACCTATGTCCACCATACAACTGATTGTTCAGATATGAGATTTTTTGCCATAACTTCTTCATTTATGCAGCTAGGAACATCAAAATTCGCACCGTTTTCACTCATTATTAACAGAATACTTACAGTGAAAATAACAACGATCGGGTCACTATAACATATATCTCCCATACAACTGATTGTTCAGTTATGAGAATTTTTGTTATAACTCCTCCATTTATGCACCTAGGAACATAAAATTTTGCAATACTTCCACCCATGAACAACAGAATATACAATGAAAATAACAAAGATCGGGCCACTTTTACATATAGCTCCCATACAACTGATTGTTCAGATATGCGTTTTTTTGTTATAACTACTCCATCTATGCAGCTAGAAACATGAAATGTCCCACTATTTTGATCAGTATCAACGGAAAGTTTACAGTTAAATTAACAAAGATCGGCTCAATATAACCTGTTTATTGCCCCATACAACTGATTGTTCAGATATGGGGTTTTACTGTCAAACTCCTTTATTTGGACAGCTAAAACCGATAAATTTCTTAAGCTATTTTATAAATAATAATACAAAGTCTACTGAGAAAATCGTCAACATTTATGCTGTATGAGTTTTATCTCTTATACCACTGATTGTTCAGATACCAGTTTTTGCGATATATCTCCTTTATGTAGGAAGCTAAACCCATTAAATTGTGTTGCCGGTTTACGTACCGATCACACAGCAGTGAAAATCACTTAGATTGGTGCTATATAAGGTATATCTTCCATACCTCTGATTGTTTAGTTATGATTTTTTTTTACACGTATCTCCTCTATCTATGCCTGCTGTGAATATATAAATTTTTTCAAATGCAGTAATCTGTTAAAGTAAAATTTTCAGATACTCAAGAAAGGTATGAAGCCTTCGGCATAGCCGAAGACAGTGCTGCTCTTACTTGTTTTAATTTTGTTTTGGTAGCGAATGAGGATATCTCTTATTTCAAAAATAGAGTCATTTTTATGTGAAATGTTCATAACAGCTTTAATGCAAGACTGAGAATCGGAACATATGACGTGTTTGCCTATTTGGGTTTTGAACCATTTAACTGCATCGAGTAAAGCTTCCGTTTCACCAGTGAAAACTGAACATTCATCGCTAAGTTGCATAAGTTGTATGGTTTCGTAGTTGTGGTTAACAATAGCGTATTTTGCCGTTGTTGCTGTTTTAGACTCATCTGTATAGTGGAAGAGCCAGCCGACGTCTTTGTAGTCTTCAGTTGTATTCTTAAAATGTGTGATGTAGGCATTGTTGCACGTAGATTGTTTTGGAAGGTGCATAAGGGTTGTGATAACGCTATTTTTTTTGGAAAATCCACGGTGGGTGGTATGGTATAAACCTTTGACGAGGTTTAGAATTCAAAGAAAAATTCGGAATGCTCTGGACAATTCTTTCAAACGCTGACAGTAGATTCTTGGCTTTTGGTTATCGCTCTCTTGATATGAAGCTGCTCTTGTAGAAAGCAGTTCTTTTTCGGTGGGCAGCAATATTTTGTTGCAAGCTTAGCCGTGTTAAGGATAATTCTATCCCTTAGAGTTCCTAGTCCGCTTTCAGTTTGTAAAATAAGTAGCGGTGTAGTTCTGAATGCCCCAAGTGCGTAAAATACAGCAGAATTGTAAACAGTTTCTATAGTTCTAAGCATGATAAAAACATAACAAGGTAAAACCATTGAGAGGCAGTCTGACGTTTGCCAACAATATAATTTTAAAATCAAAACTCAAACTCATACACACATTCTCATTTTCAATCTCAAACAACAACAATTGTGAACAATTTAATTTTTTTATTTTCAATTTTATATGATTTTAAAATGTTGGCAAACGTCAGAAAAAAATCATGGCCGACGAAATGAGAGAATGAATTTACCTTGTAATGTTTTTATCATGGTTCTAAGCTTAGACTTTGCAATATGTCCGTGTATAGCTTCCCCATATTCGATTTTTGAAACTAAAATTGCCTTAATAATGTTTAGTACAGTATTAGGGTGTGCGTTACTATGGTAGCTGCTAATGCATTTAATCAAATTCAATCTCTTAGTTAGTGATTCTTTTAAATAATTTATGTGCGATATAAAATTGTATTTGTTATTAAGAATAATTCCTAAGACTCTCAGATCTGTCAAGTAATCGATTTTATTTGAGTTTATGTAGACATCGACAGGAGTACAACGACGTTTCTTACAAATATGTAGTGCCTTAGTTTTAGATAAGGAGATCTTAGCCCCTGTAATATTGCACCAGTCGATGATTTCGGAAAATAAAATATTAACATTTTTTTATATTTCACTTTGGTGTTTGTGGTTAATTATAACATAAAGTTCATCGGCATAGATACAATGGTTAAAGAATGGGTGTCTTACAAGAATACTATTTAATTTTTCGAAAGCTATTAGAAACAGTGTGACTGATAGTGGGGAACCCTGTAGGATCCCGTTTATCAGTGGCACTGTATTTGAATAATAATTATTGATTTTTACCTGGAATTTTCTGTTGCTTAAAAATGATATTATAAAATTAATTATTTTTGGTATTAAAAATGTTGTTAAACAAATTGAGAAGAAAAGTACGGGCTGGTATTGGAAGGTGGTTTAGCATAGAGTAGGAAACCTTGTCGAAACCAGGAGTGTTACCTTTGGGTGTTGAAAGTGCATTGTTGAGTTCTATCATCGTTATGTCGGATTCAATGAATTTGGCCGTTGGGTGGGGGGTGTATGTTATATTCCCACTAAGGGAATTTTTGCAATTAATAAATGTATACGAGAAGTTAGAATCAGCAGATTCTGCTGACCATATTTGTGCGAATGTCGAAGCAATTTCCGACTTACATGAAATGGTGTTGCTACTTTGGTCTTCGATATTGTTTATCGTGAAGTGAGTATTGTTGCCGTAAAGTTTGTTGGCATGATTCCATAAATATTTCATGGATGAAGTAGGGTTAATCGAAGATGTAAATTTGTGAAATGTTTCACGTTTGGCCTTCTTTACTTCTCTTTTGAATAGCACATTTGCTCTTTTGTAGGCCATGCGATTTTCTGAATTTAAGTGGTTTTTGAACACATACCAAAGTTTTTGCTTTCTATCTCTTAGCTCATTGAGATTTGTTTTCCACCAATAGGTTTGTTTTTAGAGAGAGAAGCGTGGTAACTTTTTCATAGAATCATTAGTCGACGTTCAGACACGAAAACTTTTGTTGTGGAAACTCGAAGCTTGTAGGGGAGAGAGCGACGAGGAAAGGGGACGGGTACCGAGTCGCCCTTACTCCGGAAACACGCTTTGTGCTCTCGTTCGTCTGAGTAATTCAAGTTGGCGATTCACAGCTGACAACAACAATTGCGTACAAAAGAGTTTCTGTGTGTGAATGCGAAGGGCAACACCAAAAGAGAAATCGCCGATAATAAGAAACTTGAGTTTCCGTGTTTGCAAGAATGATAGAATAAAGAGATTGCGCTTTGCGCAGGTCCGTTACTCTTGTTTACAAATCAGCTGTTCGAGTGTTGACGTCATAATATAAAATTTTTGGTGGGAAGCGTATTGGTTTGCGAGGGAAACGTATTGGTTTGCGAGGAAAACGTATTGATTTGTGATATTTTTGTTAAAGTTATAAAATAAAAACATTGTAAAATGAAGTGCGCAGTTGCGAAATGTGGAAAAACGGCGGCAGAGTGCAGTTTGTTTACTTTTCCTTCAGATCCAGAACTTAGGAAAAAGTGGATCCAGTTCTGCCGGCAAAGCAAGGATTTCCAATTTAAAACTTGCTTTATTTATATATATATATATATATATATATATATATATATATATAAGAAATTATTGAAACAGCGCACAAAAGAAAACGCAAATATACAAAAATATTGACTTAGCAAAATTTGTTTTATTATTTAAAACCTTGGAATATTATATATTAATCTTTTCAATTCACAGGTAAAATCCTAAAACTACGTAAATCAACTTGTCATAAACATTTCAATTTAGTACAATTAAATGTTTGTAATTCTATGCTGGAGGAATGTTTAGTTATTTGTACAACGATTTTGGGGTGAAGGGTGGACGAAAGGGTTGGGGCGTGGCTCCCCAAACCCCCCTAAACGAAATAGGATGGACCGCGATTTATGAAAAGTCAGCTCGAAAGTTTGCAAAAATACCATATTTCAAACCGAAATTATTAAAAAATTATTGCAGATATAGTAATTAGTTTTTTTTTTTTTTAAATAAAGCGTAGACTTGTCTACAAGTGTGTGTAAACGTTTTTAGATTCGGGTCACTCGTTTGGGCACAGCAACCAAAAATGTGTGTGCAAATAACTAAACCGCATCCCTATACTGTTTTAATTGCTTCATAGAATTGTACTTTACACTTTACCTTAATGGGTGAACCCGGATAACCGGAGCCGTGTCTGCACCGTTGGTTGCACCGGTTGCATGGTTGGCACCGTTTGCATTGTATTTCCTGAAATAAGTACGCATTGGAAGTTAGTAAAAAGTAATGTATTGTCGCAGATGCTACTTACCATGCTATGAGCACGCCCTTGCTCAACGAATTGGCCCTTTTACGCTGTTTCCTGGTTAGCGCTCTTCGATTCTCTGTAGTCTTTCTGGCATCGTATAGCTTCTATATTTGTTTCCAAGCCTTGGAGCTATGCACTATTTGCTGTGGCTTCAATTTCATTTGGAAATCTTACTCGTTCCATTTGCCAGCGCAACGGCGGCCAGAGAATGCAATTTTTATTTGAACGCCCTACTCACTACCTGAAATAAAATAATAATATAAATAATGTAAAAGAAACACAAAATAAATTTACCGTCTTCTCGATTCAATAAATTGCCACCAGATTGTTTTATTTTAGTCTTTCAACTAAATTTTATGCTATATTTACTTTTTTTCGTCGAAATTGTATGCGATTTGACAGATCGCCAACAACAACTTTTATATTATGACGTAGATGCGCAGAACGAAAAATTTTTGCACCCCTATCGGCGCAATCTTTGTATTCTATCATTCTTGCGTGTTTGAACGCAGACTTAAGAGCGAAATACACCACACAAGCGGCTTGTCAAACATACTTTTCCCATTTTGCCATAGACCATGCAAACATGAGTCGTTCAAGCACAGAATTTTAGTTTTCTTTCGGTTAACAATGTAAAACATTTTAGTTTTCTACCATTATTCTCCCTTACGTCTTCACTTGGTGAAATTTCAGTTGCAATTGAGGCGATTTTACCACCCACATCGCAAGCGGTTTGATCAAACGACAACATGGCGGCCAGAAAATCAAAAAAATTTGATTTTTGCTCAAATTTCCCTCAAGCGGTTTGTCAAACCTTCAAACACCCCATAGACAGCACAAATGGCTTGAAGCAAAGGGAAATTTCGCTTGGTTTGTCAAGCCGCTTGTGTTGTGTATTTCGCTCTTTAGCGGCAGAGATAATATATTTTTTGAGTATCGCGGCGTCTTTGTTAACATTGCTTGTTGGGCTATAATTTCTTTTCCAATCTGCATAGTCTGTCTTAAATTTAAGAGCGCAGAATGATCCCATTGGTTGGTTTTGGTATCTCTTAAGAGAGATATAGATTGGGTAATGATCACTTCCGTGTAGAGAAGTGTCAATGTTCCAAGAGAGGAATGGAAGTAGGTTTGCTGAAGCAAGAGAAACGTTAATATGAGTATGTGTGGAATGTGTTGAGAATTGGGTAGGTGATTTGTCATTGCAAACAATGAGGTTGGTTCTATTTTACAGCGTTTGTCGGTTTTATTAGAGCCCCATATGTACTATGGGCGTTAAAGGCGCCTAAAAGAATAGTAGGGTAGTTAGTACTACCGTAAATAGTATTTAGGTCGTGAATTGTGAATCCTGTATGTGGAGGGATATAAATAGATATTATGGTGATTTTCATGTCGGCGCTAAGTGTAACACCGACAGCGCAAAGATGAGAAGGGGGAGTAAAGAAATTTTGTTCTATTGATTTTTTAATAAAGAGTGCTGTTCCTCCTTTTGCGAATGTTGATTGTGTGTTACACGTAGTGTTCATAGTTTCTAAGCTTATTGGGATCAAGTTTTAAATGAGTTTCCTGTAAAGATATTATATCTGGGCATTTCCGATGAATTAGTTGTTGGAGTTCATGTTGGTTGTTGTGGTAGCCGTTTATATTCCATTGGAGAATAATTAGGACCATAACAAAAAATCAAATGAATATTTCTCTCTTGGAGCGATATATACAGAATATAATCGGAAAGAGATAAAATAGCTTTAAAGGTTTTCGTCAAATTCTGACATTTCTGCCATTTGTGAAAGGGTTGAATTCATGAAGTTGTTTGTGTTCTGGTATAAAATAGTATTGCTGTCGTGAGTATTAGTTTTGGAGAGGCTGTTTGTGTAATGAGGTGGATTTGTTTTGTTGGAAATAAAATTTTCGGGGGAACTACTTATTGAGTTTGTTTTTTGTTTTTGGTTTAAAGAGTAAGGTTTTTGATTTGCTTCTGTGATGGAATTTTGATTGTTATGTTTTTCAATTTCGGTTTGATTTTTGTATTTTTTTTTAGTTCAATTATTTTTTTTATGCTTTTCGATTGCTTCATTGAGAACTTCTTTGGGAATGTTTTCGATTGTAGTTGGTAGATTATTTACGATTTTTGTTGCTTCATTAAATTTGCATTTATTTATTACTTTTGTCTTTAGAATTTCGCGCTTTTTTCTGATACTGGGACAGTCTTTGTGAAGGGCATTATGCTCATGTTGGCAATTAACGCATTGTATTTTTTCGCATGGAATCGGATCGTGACTATTGCCCGAGCATACTTCGCACTTTTCTTGATTTTTGCAAAACTTTTGCGTATGGCCGAGTGTGAAACATTTTTTGCATTGCATTGGAGACGGAATATATGGATCAACCTTGAAGTTTAGAAATGCAATTTTCATTTCTTTTGGTAGTTCGTAAAGGTTGAACGATATTATATGAAGCGACGTGTTGGTTAAGGTGCCCTCTAATTTTTTTGAACATCATTTACACCTTGATCGCGTAAGCCTTCAAGTATTTTGTCCATAGTGAGATTTTTTAGTGGGGGTGCAAAAATTACACCCTTTACCGTGTTCAAAGTCGGATGCAGAATGGTGGTGACCGAACAAACATTGCAAAGGTTTGTGGCTGTTGGAAATCGAGTTGTTTGTGCTGAGCTTTTTGTGAGGATTACCAAGTCGCCGTCTCTTGTGAATGAAATCCGACTAGGTTTTTCGCTGCTTATACTTTCGATGGTTTATTTTCCATTTTGCTTTTCATTAGAATATATTTTGGGCATTGGTTTTTATTTGTTTGATTTACATAGCCGATAATCGGAAAATCATGCTTATTGGTTAGATCATAGCTAAAGTTTTTCTTTCTTTTTGCTGGCCCCGGATCGGGATCCTCCTGAGTTGGAAGCCATGGCTACTAAGTACTTAGGAAAACAAACGAGAAATGTGGATATTAAATATTTAACACACGTGTAGGAAGAGCGAATAATACGAATAGCGAGAGTAGTCAAACACGACCGCTTTCAATGAATGCAAGGTGTCAACTGTTTGAGTGAATAAAATTGATATTTACAGTGTTTTTTAGATAAAAAATAAGAATATTATAAATTTTTGGAAAATGGTGTATATCTTGGTAACCGCTCCACCAATTTTTTTCAAACTTGGCACAGTTGTTGGCCTTGGTACAACATACCAAATGGCGGAAAATTTTCAAAATCGCACAATAAGCACTCCCAGATCCCATATAACGGTAATTTAAAGAAATACGAAATCTTCGTGAAATCAGTAAATAGTAAAGCTAATTTATTCAAAATTCATGCTTACAATAATTCTTTACCAAGAAATACGCTTATGATACAATTATGGAGAATGGACGTGGCACTGCTCAATTGTGATCACATATATGTATCTCGGTAACCGTTATACCTATTTGTACCAAACTCTGTACATAAAAGCAAAACGTTGAAAATTATTGAAATCGGGCTAAAATTACGGCCACTTTTCATATAACGGTAAATTTCAAAAATGCTTGAAACTTCCATATTTCTAAATTTACTAAAAATTGATACTAACAACAATGCCTTGAAAAGAAGTAACATTATTACAGTACTGCCTTTTCAACTCTTGTACTGATTTTATTAATTTCTTCAATCAGTACGCTAGTGTCCTGATTTTTCAAAATTTGTACTGATTTGTACTGAATTTTCAATTCAAACAAAATACTTTAGGATTTTCTTAAGGTTTTTACATAACGTTGCAACTTCCTTAAACTGTACTGTAAAAAGTAAGAAGAAAATAATGTTTGATATGACCAAGAAATTAATACAACAAAAATCGTCAATCGTTTTATGGGCATATTGCCTGGTCGTTACGTACCAGTTGCGATAATATGATGGAGCTTAAATTATTTAAAAAGCAGGCTGAGTGTTGCTAGTTACATCGAAAATAACTTTCAGTTTAATAACAAAAAATTTGAATATTCGAATGGCTATAACTTACAATTCTTTTTTCACAATTTGCTGACATTGTAAAAGAGTTTTGCATACAAGACATATAGTAAGACACTCTTTTTAGCGAATTCTTAGCCATTCAAAGTTTTTGCGTAGTTGAGAAAATTTTAATTTAAGCCATGAGGGATTATAGATGAAGTCCTTAAATAGTGGTACTTTTCCACAGTTTGAAAAAAAAAATTTAATATTTTTTTCAATACAACAAAAACGAAGCAACTGAGTATAAAGTTTGCTTCCTGGGGCAAGGAGAGAAACCGGCTTCTAATTAAAATTTTTTAAAGTGAAGTTCATATTAATTCTGCACGTTGCCAAAGATTTTGTAACCGGAAAATTTTATTACCAAAAAATGTTACCAGTTCTCGTCACCGCGATTCTAGTTACGTTGGTAATGCAGTTAAAATATTCAGCATTGCATATTTCACGGGGCAATACTTTGTTACCAGCTTATGAGATGGTGACAAAATTTACCGCTTACAAGAGTACACAGAATTCGAAAATGGTTTAAAATTTGACAGGAACTTAATTTTCCGCTTACAAAACTTTTATTACCAGCCATTAGCGCACACAGACCAAATAACCTTCAATTGAAACTTAAAAATTTGTTTTTTATTGCATTCTGAACGGCCTAACATATCCCAATAGGCAACGGTTCGGTTTTCGTGCGATGCAGTGAAATGCTGCCACACTCGCACATGTATTATGATCACATTTGCTTATTTCTTCTTTATGATGCCTTTGCGCTCAATTTGGCAATTCTTCGCCTCGCTGTCTACTGATTTGCATTAAAGTTTAATACCTTAAGCGCTTCTGTAGTAGTGGCTGCATCGCTACTTGCTTCTAAGTTCACAAGATATCGTACCGTAATATTTTTTAACAGACTTCCTTTGTCCTTGGGAACACTTTAGGCTATATTTTTTCTAAGTCTTAACATTTTTAAGTAGCAAATTCCAAAATTTTTTGCCACTTTTCGTGCGGTTCCGCCTTTCCGTAGTAAATCTATTATTTACATTTATGGTTCCTGATTAACTATATTATTTACTGGTGATCACTTCTTCAATAAATTACAATATAGAAAAAAGTCATCTGACTTCCAACTAGGTAAAAGATAACTGTCAAATGCAAAACTGAGAGTGAGTGCAAAACTGTAACATCTGCCTTAATTTACATTTTTGTCTGCTGGTTTTTTTATTGTTGTTGTATTGTCTTCAAATCATTATGAGAGAGGGAGTAGGGATGTACCAACAAGAATATACAGCAAAAGTATGAAAGTCGTTAGAACTTGGAAATATAGCGGTGGTTGAAACAAAAAGTGTTAAACCATGTTACAGTTTTGCTCGTTACTGTATATTTAATACTTGCGCCGGGTATTTTATGTTCGGCTCCGCCCGAACTTAGACTTTCTTACTTGTTTTATGTACTTTTTTAATTTAATATTTATGCACCTTTTTTTTGTAATAATTATTGCGACCAAAATTTTCATGCGATTTTCATGAAACTTTGTGAGTACGTAAAAAAATAGCTTTCTGAAAATTGGTAGGATTTTTTTTAATTTTCTAAATTTTTTTCAAGCTCTTTATTTTTTAAATAATTTTTTTTTAATTTCTCGTTGTGATTTTAATCAACTTTAGGGGTCGAAATGTTCCTTACAATATCTTTTGCTAATGTGCTCAAAAAAATTTTTGTGCAACCATACGGCTCTTTAGATATAAAACCACTATTTGTGTATGCATATTAAACGAAATCTATATATCCCTATGTTATTCGATACGCTGAATGCAAATCCGAGGTCCGTTAGCCTCCATCACGTCAGGTGCGTGGTCAGTTGAAGGTCGAGTAGGGAAAATTATTGAATAAACCTGAAAATTCATATATATGGGGCTTTAGACTCGCACAAAGTTTAAAGCTTGGATTTATGCGGGGGTTGCTAAAGAAACACTATATTAAAAAAAAAAATAATAATAACTAAAAGTCAAATGAGTGAGTGTCAAATCAATCAGTTTTTGAACAATCGGCCGTGGCATCTTTAATATATAGAAAATAATGGGTCGACCTGATAAATGTTGTAATCCGCTGCGTAAAAAAATCACCAAACTGTTCGGACAAATCTTTCTTTCGTTACGCACAAATGGAACAAAAATTTCAAAAATCTTGTAGGCTTTCATATATGCAATAGTTGTCGGAGAGATATATATATAGAAACGATAATAATGTATGTGTTCTTGATTCAGCTCAAAGCGAAAATATCGCCAAAGCTACGGAAGGAGAGTTTTGTGATCTTATCAAAGCAGACGACAGGTCAGATCCCTCTTTTGAATGCAAGACAGTTGATAATATTATAATATTATTATACATTATTATCGTTTCTATATATATATCTCCGACAACTATTGCATATATGAAAGCCTACAAGATTTTTGAAATTTTTGTTATTCTACTCCATAAAGAAATGTCGAATGGCGATTTTTTTGTAATTTTTTCGCAATTTACTTGAAATTTGTTAGAGTGTACAAGTCAAACGGACCTCAGAATCAGATTCAGCGGGTCGAAATGCATGTTGGTAGATGGGTCTGGTTAACAGCACACATCTTTTTTGTGCCGGTGTTGTTATTATTGCACTTAAAATGTGTACGAAGAGCAGCAAAGCATTCAAAGCGGAGTCTCCTAATTTTGACCTGAAGTTGTTACACACAAAACCTGCTGATGAAAAACATATTTCGGCCTCAGCACTTTTAGGTTGAACAGTCAGAATACGCCATTTAAAGACAATGATCCCTATCTCCTCCAGTACTAAATATTTGAACTTCTTTTACCTGCACGTTGGGTAAATTATAAGTTTTTGATTTGAGGAAGTTTGAGAAGATTGATTGAAAAAATAACTTTTCCTTAAAACTTTAAGGTATCCACACACCTACGCGATTCTGTCGCGAAGAATCCGCCCCGTTTTTGATGCTACAGACAAGCAAAAAATATTTTTCAACAAAAATAAAATTCTTATCTTTTCTACATCAAATATGTTTCGTTTTCTTACGTTCAATTTTGTTTTAATATTGTAAAATCCTTCTATTAGCCTTTTGCGTTCACAAAACGCGGCAGTCTGCGATTTCGGCACGACGAAAAGAAGAACTGTGCATGTTCGAATAAATCGCTGCAGCAAAATCGTATAAGTGTGTGGTTCCTCATTTAAAACTATCGTCGGCATTGTTGTAATATTTGTCGGAACAGATTCGCACGTACAGAATCGCATAGGTGTGTGGATACCTTTATGTTTCGTTAACATTAGAGATGCTATGAATACATTTGTTTAAATTTGTATGCTCTCACCCCCAGGTTAGGTTAGGTTATCTCGGCTGCCCTTATCCCTCAGGAAAAGGGCACACTTAGGCCACCATGGGCCCTTTGTGATGCCGTATTAGAGACTCCATATGTCCTTCCTCTTACCCTAGATATTTTTTTATTTCAAAATAAAGGGATGAGAGCGTTAAAATTCCGACCTTACTCATTTTGGACCACACTAATGAAAACAGATTAACTTACTACTACCACTATTACGTAACTTACATCTATTATCCGTGATGAAACTGTTGTGCATACCTACATATGTGTTCAGATTCCATTTCGTCATCCAAAATTTTTTTGGGAATAATTAATACTGTTATAATAGTACCATACAATTAATAAAATATATATATATTTTTTTTCAGGCTGTTTTGTACAGGTTCCATCTGAGAAGATCTTATTGAACAGCATTGTTTTGCCGCACAAGGAGTTATCTAGAAGTTTCAAGAATGAAATAATTTTATAAAATTTTAAACAATTTAGAACTTATATATGTGCACATATTAAATATTCTTTTTTTTAGTTGTATTCAACTAGCGAAAAAAGTTCAAATTCAAATTAGTAGCACATTTGTATTTTAATATGTATTACGAATGCTATTGTGGATATCAATTTACATATATCTGCAGATGCACACATTTGTACATTGTGTAATTTTTTAAATACATACATATCTAGTTACAAATAGCATATTTTTGAAATAAATCCTACGAGTTGAGTATTTATTATTACTGCTTTGTTTAATATTTTACTTATTTTTAATTTTAACATAACAGTTGTCTATTATATATAGAGTCCGACCGAAGGTAGAACCGAATGTGCGGTTTGATTTATCATATTGCTCTAGAGTTAGACGATCTAGAGTCCACACGCCTTCGTAGCCTATTACGCCCATTTGGGTACTTAAAGTTGACATTATAGACAATGTGTTTGTGTAAAAAATAAAAGTTTAAATGCTGTAATAAAAAAAAAATCCAAAAGAAAATTTTTTACTTTTTTATACGTTGCACATAAATGTAAAAATTTATAATTAAAGCCCAAAATAAAACGGAACATTTTGCTTCATTAAGTTTCGTTAAAAGGTTTCGAGGATACAGCACTTTAAAGAAAGGTATGTATGACGTTTTCTTAAAATTTAAGTCCCGTGTAAATAGGCAAAAAAAAATAAAAAATATGCTACACGTATATTCATGTCACCTAGACCTTCAATCTCTTCAACTTTCATCCAAATCCTTAGAGGTCGCGCACAGAGATGGCCGCGGTGACATCAAATGCCTCAAATAGTAAAAACGCATTCTCGTGCTAAACTAGAGTGGACGGTGGTTTAGCTATTTAATAATCGATTATTCGATTAATCGTGCCATCACTAATCTGCATACATTAAAATTTTGGAAAATTGTATATCTGTAGAAATATCGTTTATAAAAGGCAAGAACAGAACCGGGCCTAGGTGACTACCTTGAGGGAGTCCTGAAGTAACATCAATGACGTCAGAGATAGTATTTTTAAACATTACCCTTTGTGATCTATCATAGAGGTATGAAGAGATCCAACGTAGAAAATTAGGTGGAAGACCAAGAAGATCGAGTTTATAGATGAGCAACGAGTGGCACACTTTGTCAAATGCTTTACTGAAGTCAGTATATATAACATTAACAGTTTTGCTTTCACTGAATGCTTTTGAGATATAGGACGTTAGTTCAAGTAAATTTGTAGAAGTTGATTTGCCCTTGAAAAATCCATGTTGACTATATGAAATACTAGAAGAGATAGAATTCGTCAACTGATTTGTTATAATTGCTTCAAATAATTTAGAAATTGCAGAAAGCTTAGCTATTCCCCGGTAGCTCTCCACTGAAGATCTGCTACCGCTTTTATGTAACGGGGTTATGAACGATTGCTTTAAGGATTTCAGATAAACTACTACATCATCGGGAGATATTACTGGGATATTTATTGAGTTCATTGGACATAGTTTAAAAGTATAGTCAATGTTAGCATGTGAGTTAATGGAATAATTGTATTTAAAAAACTGACCGAACATGTTAGAAATTGTTTGATTATCACTAAAGACGGTATTTTTAATACTTCATGGCGGAAGGAAACCCACGTACATTTCGGTTGGAGTTTACGAAGTCATAAAATGATTTGGGGTTATATATTATACGCCGTTTGATTTTACACAAGTAAGCTTTATAACACGTTTTGTTTAATTCAAAAAACTTATGACACAAAAGTGAGTATTTTACATAGTATGAGTGTAAACCGGTTCTTTGTGTAATCTAAAATAACGTGACTTTCTATTTTTCATATTTCTCAGTTCTTTAGTGAACCATAACTGTGTTTGTTCTTCAGGAACATACATGCGTTTAGGCATATGCTTTTCAAATAATTTATGTAAAGTAAAGTTAAAAAGTGCAACGCTTTGTTCAATATTTTCTTTATATACAGGCCACCATAATTTAGACAGTTCTTTGCTAAGCTTTTTAAAGTTGGCTTTCGAAAAATCAAAGCGAATATTTGGTTAGTATGCTTGGGTACCGCAATTTTGACCATCACTTATAACTTCGTAAGATATATCCATAGCAGGCTGGTAGACATCTTCGGGCAAAACTAGTGGATCACACTTATTTACAATGGACTTAGATGCATCATCAACATAAACAAGATCTAATACTTTACCAAACTTACATCTTACAGCCATCTCCTCTAAAAATACGTTGTTGCACGCACTAGACGCGAAAGGTATGACATCATTGTCAATGATGTTCCATGATATGCTTGGTAAATTAAAATCACCCAACACAATCATTGAATCAGAGGGTTTAGTCAGTAAATTAACTGATTTCAGTAAAGAGATGAGTCGTGAATACACCAATATGTCAGATCGGGGATGGATATAGCATAGAGCTATGTAAATAGACCCTTTTCCAACCTGTACACGAATGCATTTGAATTCTACTGAATCAATGTGTGGAAGCTAACTTCTTCAGATGGTATTGAAGAGTCTACAGCGAAGAGTACGCCACCGCCGATTCTGTCTTCCCTATCTTGTCTATTGATATGATAATTATCTGGAAGAATCTCTGAATTAAAAATGTGATGTTTCAACCAAGTTTCAGTGAAAGAAAGAATATTATAATTACATTCAAGGCCTTTAATACTTAAAGCAGATTTAATAATTCGTTTTTTGATTCAGTATTATAACGGGGAATATTAGCTAAGTTATTTCCTTTTTTGGGCCTATATTGGAATTCACGAACGAAAGCTCCGGCTGCCAAAAAGAACTGCTAAGCAGCGCATTAAAATTATCTAAATTTACATCTTATAGTTGGTAGCAATTTCAAAATGGAAATACAATATACATACATAGACTGAGATGAAGTATCTTAAAAGCCAGTTTCATGAAAACAATTTAAGTGAATAATTATTTTTTTCTGTCAGGTTCTATATTAAATGCAATTAAAATAAATTTTCGTTAAATTGCTTTTATGGAACTGTCTTATAAGGTATTCCGACAGGTGGTAATTTGAGATTTACCACTGCACAACTCAACCCTGGTGGGTCCGAATGAAGCTTTAAGGCATAATAATAGGTGCAATCCCGTATTCCTCGGACTGTCAAAAAATAAAAATTCGCTCAGAGCGGGAGAGTAACATTGAAAAGTACGGGATCGCTTTCTAGTAAAAAATGGTAGCTTCTGTCAACTTCAACATAACCTCCAAATTTTGGTTGTAATTTTTTGCTTATTTTGTATGTAAACACACTCAGCTCACACATGTAAATAACCAAAAATACTTTCAAATTCATTAGAATTCACTTAAACAAGTAATTAAATACTTTTCAACATGAATTAGCAGAGTGCACTTTTCTTTTGTTTACAATTTGGTTGCCAAACACACTACAGCTGATCGTTTGACACTGGTAACTTCTGACAGAGAGAGAACCGTATTTACTCTCATTTTTGTCCTCTCAATAGTCAGAGAACCGAGTACGGGATCGATTTCCAGTAAAATCTGACTGATTCTGACTAGTCCGGACTCGTACGGGATCGCAACTAATATTGGTAAATCACATCCATTGTAGCCATGGGTAACTGCGCATTTTTTTTGGCGCTAGATCTATAACGCCTGCACCCCCTGTGGTGTCAGTGCACTAAGTCAGCGCAATAGCGCAGTGTACTGAATTGAACACGGTGCCATCTGAGTGTCACCACCGCAGTGTTGCCAGAACTTTTTGGACGAACCGGCTAAATTGGCAAATAAAACCGGCTAAAAACGGCTAAAATTTTCAACCAAATTTCACATGATTTATTTAAATAAATCACGAGTAAAAATACTATTTCTTGGCGAGAAGTTACAAATTCGAGCCGGAAAAAATTTTGCCAGCAAGAATTTGCAATTAGGAAAAACATGTGATCGTGGCACATGGTTGGATTTTTTGTCGACGATAATTTGAATAAACAAGTTCGTTAAATTTAAAAATTTACAAACTGTTTACTTAATTAATTTAGTCAATTCCAATGATTTAAAAGGTATTCGGCAAAAAAAACTATCTATTACTATTACTATCTGATATTTTGAGTGATAATTCTCGCTGGATTTTCGGCGAACAAACCTATTGTCTTCCCTACAAGGCCTTTTCAGACTGACCGATTCTCAATACACTCAAATAGAAATCAATACACATAAAAAACGCTGTAAAAATTTCCCTTCAATTTTAAGGCAGTAAAACAACGACTTTAAGTTAACATCAACCGAGGCCATATGTTGACAAGGGATGCAAAATCACAGTTACACAAAAGAACTGGTCAGATTTTTCAGAAATCCCTTCAATTCTGATGTAAAATATGATACCAAAAGACTGCAGATCTCCCATTTAGATGACCGGCCATATGACCGGCAGATGTCTCGTAGGATTCCCAGAGAGTTTTGCTTTACATAGAAATTTGTGCTCTTTTATTTTCATTTTGACTCACTTCAGTGTTGGTTCCTTTAATTCAAGTTCGCATTCGGTTTTTGGAATTTAAATAAGTTCTCAGCAAAAAAGTTTGTTTAAAAAAATACATATGGGTATTTCCATACGTCGCATACGTGACAGTCGTACGTTTCAATGTGATACAAAAAAGGAATACCATTTGTTTTCTTTAACTTTTTTGGGCATTTATATAGCACAAAATTAGCTCTATATTTAACCAAAAAATTAAAACAATCGAACTGCTTGGTCCTGAAATATAAGCATTTAAAGAGAGTGTCGTTACGTGACAAAAAATGGAAGTGATTTTTTCTTTTCTTACAAAATCGCAAAACTCTGCGAATTGTGGGTGGCTATTTTCATGAAACTTATTTTAATATAATTTGGAGCAATTATAGTTGTTTTTAGACTTTTTTGAATTAATGCAACTTGTTTCAATGTCCATCGTTATATTTTTGTTAATATTGCTTTTAAATGAATTTTTAACGCAAATAAAACATGTATTTTATGTCGAATATACTTTATATTTTGACTTCAGCGCCAATTCAAGGTCAATTTGCTGGAAATCTATGATTTATTATGTTTCAACTACATACGCCAAATTCGAACCAAATCGGACCATAAATACGGTTTTTTCGAAATATCTCGACCTTGGCGCCACCTAGGAAGACCATTTTACTCAAACATGATTCTACTTACATAGCCAGTATATATTTTAAAAAGCAGACAAATCGGTCTGTAAATACGTTAGATATAA